TTTTTTCCTAGGCCACACTGTCAAACCTCTTTCTGTGAGGAGACCAATTGCCTCAAGTCATGAGGGAACAACATACAGGGGTCGCTGTGTTGGCCATTTAGCAAATTCAAACAAACACCCACCAAACAATGATACCTTTATTGGCCAGTTCGGTTGGCCAATAAAGGCATCACTGTTTGGTGGGTTTTTGTTTGAATTTGCCTCATGAGGGGATCATTGTGGTCATTGTTCTGGACCTGCACTCACGGCGAGACCTCCCCGCCGGCAGAGGGCAGCACCGGAATCTCCCTCCAAGGCCTCGCCAGGCCCAGCGCGGCTGCGGAGGGAGGCCTATTCCGCGGGAACTCTTCTCCTCAGGGCCGCGGCGGATGATGGCCCGGCGGTAGCGAGCGATACAGGCCTCGGAGGGAGCGCTGGCTTCGGGCCTAGAGGCCTCATGGCTTCCCGCGGAGGCGGAGAGGAGGAAGGGGTCCTCTTCAGACGAGGGGCCGGGCAGGTAGAGGGCTCGGCGGCGGCGGGGCCCATGGGGACCCGGGCGGGCGTTGAGTGCCCTCAAGTCCTTTCCGACTCATGGCAGACCCTGAGGCGAATGCTCTCCTGGGGTTTGTTTGGCAAGTTTCTTCAGAGAGGGTTTGCCATTGCCTTCCCCAGAGGCTGAGAGAGTGTGGCTTGAGGGACTCTTAGGGGCGTTGCAGACTGCCAGAAATAGTGCAAATTGAGTCCACTTTTAGGGTTAGGGTTAGTGCTAGGGAATCATGGGAACTGTATTTTATTGTGGCACCAGAGCTCTCTGACAGAGAAGGCTCAATGTCTCAGGAAAAAAAACATAATCCCCATGATTCCCTAGCATTAACCCTAACCCTTAAAGTGGACTCAATTTGCACTATTTCTGGCAGTCTGCAACCCCCCTTAGTCCGAGCCTGGCGGTCTCCTGAGGGCTTTCCTCACAGTGTTGGTTGTTGTTGTTGTGTGCCTTCAGGTCGTTTCCGACTTATGGAGACCATGAGGCGAACCCTATCATGGAGTTTTATTGGCAAGTTTCTTCAAAGGGGGGGGGGGTTGCCATTGCTTTCTCGTGAGGCTGAGAGAGTGTGACTTGTCCAGTAGGTTTCCATGGCCGAGCCAGGATTCGAACCCTGGTCTCCAGAGTCCAACACTCAAGCCACGCTGGATCACGGCGACCATAAGGTGAACCTATCCTGGGGTGGTTTTTTTTTTTCTTGGCAAGATTTGTTCAGAGGAGGGGTTGCCATTATTGCCATCCTCTGAGACTGAGAGAGTGTGACTGTGGGTTCACACAGCTAAACCAGGATTTGAACCCTGGTCTCCTTTGTCGTACTCCAGAGCTCAAACCACTACGCCATGCTGCCATTTGGTGCAGGTCAATCTGTTCTTGAAACTATGTAGAGAGATCCTGTAGCCCCTTTGAGACTCACTGAAAGAAAGAAGTTGGCAGCATAAGCTTTCCTAGACTTAAGTCTACTTTTTCAGATGCATTTGGTGGAGTGGATGCCAGGGACAGACAGACACACATGCACACGCACATACACACACACCACATATATATACACACATATACACATACACATACCAGTGGCAAATATATATCTTCCACTCCACCAAATGCATCTGTGGAAGTAGACTTAAGTCTAGGAAAGCTCCTGCTTCCAACTTCTTTCTTTCAGTGAGTCTCAGAGGGGCTACAGGATCTCTCTACATACTGATTCTGCAGACAAACATGGCTATATCTTTGTGTTCTTGAAACTGGCAGGACTTTGGGACCGTAGTCCCATGTTGTGGTAGGGGAGTTTGCTGGTCCATTTTTTAAAATAACATAATCCCACATGGAACTGGCAGACTTAAAAGAAGATCTCTGTTAGTATTTTAAATCCATCCTGACTTGAATATACATTAGCAGAGAGGCAGTGTGGTGTAGTGGTTTGGGTGTTGGACTATGACTCTGGACACCAGGGTTTGAATCCTGGCTCGGCCATGAAAACCTATTGGGTGACCTTGGGCAAGTCATACTCTCTCAGCCTCAGAGGATGGCAATAGCAAACTTGCCCTGAAGAAACTTTCCAAGAAAACCCTGTGCTAGAGTTGCCATAAGTTGGAAATGACTTGAAGGCACACAACAACAATAAAGCAGAGATAACATATATACAGATAATATACAGTAGCCCTCCATATCCACAGATCTTTATCCACAGCTTAACAATATTCCAAAAAGATACAAATTCGAAAAAGCAAGCCATGATTTTGCCATGTTATATATGGGGTTACCACATTGTATATCACAAGACTTGAGTACCCATGGATTTTGGTATCCCCAGAGGAACCGCAGAGGATAGCAAGGTCCCACTGTACACTGGGTGAGGGCCAGTGTGGTGTAGTGGTTTGAGCATTGGACTTTGACTCTGGAGACCAGGGTTTGGATCCCTCCTCAGCCATTACAAGCTACCGTGTGATCTTGGGCAAATTTCACTCAGACTCAGAAAGGCCCCTCTGAACAAAACATGCCAAGAAAACCCAGTGATAGGGTCACCATAAGTTGGAAATGACTTGAAGGCACACAACAGTAACAACAGAGATAATAATAATAATAATAATTAATAAATAAATAAATAATTTTATTTTTACCCCGCTTTTCCATAAATATGATCAAGGCGGCTTACAAAGAATTAAAACAGTAAAAAAGTTAAAATTGTTACAATATAAAAGTTAGGAACACAACAGTCAGGGGTCAATAAAAAACACATGGGGCAGAGGGGAGGAAAAAAATGGTCTTGGTGCTTTGAAGAAGGCAGTCTGTAAATGCTTGAATTTTAACCCTTTCTGCAATTTAAAAACAACCTTATGTTTTATTTTTTCATCCCTACAGAGTGATGATTCGGATATATGGGATGATACAGCACTCATAAAAGCATATGATAAAGCAGTTGCATCTTTCAAAGTAAGCACATCTTAGGAGTTGCCGTGGGGGAGAATGTGAAATTACTCAAGCATGTATGGTAGTGCCTCTTTTCTGTCCTTGAGCAGGTAGACTGAAAGCGAAAATAAAAGGACTAGAAAGAAAGAGTAGAAAATTGCACCTAAATACTAAGCAGAATGCCATTAGCAAGAGCTGCAGTACAAAATCCACAGGTGCATTTTTTCATAATGCAGAGATACAGTTTCAAGGAAAGCTTTACCTGTTCACTCTCTCACCTGTTTAAGATAACAGGCCAGTTTCAGGAAGGACACTGTGTATATGATCAATGCCATATTTTTTCCCATTTGTGATGGGGAGCTGGAGTCTTGCCAAAAGAAGCAAGTTGCTAGGCTAGGAGTTGGATTTCATTAAATCAAAATATAGAGCAGAAGAAGCATGCTGTGGTGACATCCTTGTGACTGTCACAGGCATAGCACATGCATTTAACTCTGGTCCCAACTCAGAACAAATACAGAAATACATAAATTCTATATGTAAATTCAATAGTTATCCATTTAATTCTAGTGATTAGAACACTGTATATAAAATATTCCATTTCAAAGAAATATTGCCATATTTTAACTAATTTTAAATTTGGTAGATAGTAGGTTGCTTTTAAATGGAAAACAATGGAAGGACTAAATATCTGTGACCAAATAAGATTGGACTTGGAATTACTTGCATGTTGAGAAAGCAGAGAAGGACTTCACAACATAGGGCCTTTACAGACTGCCAGAAATAATGCAGCTTGAGGCCACTTTAACTATCCTGGTTCAATGCTAAGGAATCATGGAAAATGTATTTTTTTCTGGGACACAGAGCCTTCTCTGTCAGAGAGCTCTGATGCTACAATAAACTACAGTTCCCATGATTCCTTAGTACTGAGCCAGGATAGTTAAAGTGGCCTCAAGCTGCATTATTTTTGGTAGTCTGCAAAGGCCCATAGTCATTGTTTTCAAAACATTTTGAAATAGTTTTTTTCATCAAAATACATTTAATTAGATCAGATCTTTAAAGCTATGAACTAATAGTTATTTTCCTTGGAATTCTTTGGAAGTTAGAGTTTGTGTAAATGAGTTTTTATTTATCAGGTGGATAGACTGAACCATTAATACAGGTATATTTTGAATAAAATTGGAAATAGTTGTAATATGGGGATCAAGAAGAGGTAGCTGAATTTCCTTTTTAAAATCTCCGATATTTTCTCTTAAATTTCTCTAACAGAATGCTTTGAAGAATGGTGACTGTTCAGAATCTTTGGATAAAGCTGAACAAAATGCTGGAACAAAAAGAAAAAATAATAAAAAGAACAAAAGCAGGAAGAAGAGTAATGCTGCAGCACAAAAACAGGTAATTTTTTAAACAAAACTGTGATAAAATGCATTATTTGGAATCACTCTTTTTTATTATGAAATTAAGATCTTACTCCTTTTCAATACATGATTTGCCGTTGTACATGAACATTTATGGGGAAATATCAGAAAGCCTGATTTTAACACAGGAGCAATATTTACAGTACTGCATGATACTATGATACTAGCATCATATAATGCCAGACTGAAAAGAATAGCACTGGCTGGCAACATGCTTCTAGGCTTAATTCAAGGTGTTTATTGAGACATTTAAAGCCCTTAGTTGCTTGGGACTTTGATACTTTAGGGAGGATCATAAATGCCCACATGAAGACAGAAATATTTTCAGCAGGAACCCTACTATGTGTCACACTGAGGGGGACACCATTTGTGAAATACTTCCCCTTGGAGGTACAATTGGCACCAATATTAGCTTTGTTTAGGTACCAAGTAAAACACAGAACAATACTATAACATTCTATACATTTTAAATCCCCATGGCCGGAAAAAGTGTCTTAAATTACACCTGAAAACAATGTAAAGTCAGTTCCAGGCACTTTTTCAGGAGAGGGCATTCCTAGGCTGTGCTACTATCACAGAAGAAGCCTTAGTTACATAACACTTTTCCAGTAAGGATGGCACCTGTGGTATAGAATGTATGAGGTAGTTCTTCATATGTTTGAGTCCCAAAGCCATTTAGGGCTTTAAATGAACATTAAACATTAAGCCTTGGAGTGAATAATACAGTGTAGTTAGGCCTGAAAATGAGTAAAATTCTAAGCAAGGTTTTTAAAAATAAAAAATAGAGTGGTATGAATTACTCTAGAGCCAGCATGGTGTAGTGGTTTGAGCATCAGACTATGACTCAACACCAGGGTTTGAATCCCTGGTCAGCCATGAAAACCCACTGTGTGACTTTGGGGAATTCACATTGTCTCAGCCTCAGAGGAGGGCAAAGGCAAACCCTCTCTGAACAAATCTTGCCAGGAAACTCCCATGACAGGTTTGCCATAGGGTCACCATAAATCAAACATGACTTGAAGGTATACTACACAGCATGAGCTAAACTGGCAGAACTTGATAAATCTTGGTAGCCTAATCCAGCAGTAATTAGAGTTTGCAAGGCTAGCTTGCAAATATTTAAAGGCTGTGTGTGTCTTGAAAGTGTGTGACTTGAAAGCCTTCAAGTCACACGTGGATTTATGATGACCCCATGAATTTCATAGGGTTTTCTTAGGCAAGGGGTATTCAGAGGTGGTTTTGCCAGGTGCTCTGAGAAGGTCTAGAAACCATGCCCTAGGAGGAGCGGCTTAAGCTGGGTATGTTTAGCCTGGATAAGAAAAGGTTAAGAGGTGATGTGATAGCCCTGTTTAAATATTTGAAAGGATGTCATACTAAAGATGGAGCAAGTTTGTTTTCTGCAGCTCCAGAGAATAGGATCTGGTGTAGTGGATACAAACTACAGAAAAAGAGATTCCTCCTCCCCATTAAGAAGAACTTCTTGACAGTAAGAGCTGTTTGACAGTGGAATACACTGTCTCAAAGTGTGGTGGAGTCTCCTCCTCAAACCTCTTAAACAGAAGTGGGATGGCCATTTGTCAGAAGTGCTTTTATTGTTTCTAAAAGATTATTCTGAAAGAATAAAAATTATATCATATGCACTATATTCATTTATGCAGGAGAAAAATAATGTTTGTATATTGGGATGAAGGAGAAAGTTGTTTCATTACAACATGAACATAAATTTCTTTTTCCTCCAATGCAGTGGAGAATTGGCGATGCTTGCAGTGCAGTTTGGTCTGAAGATGGCAACTTGTACCAAGCAACGATTACCTCAATTAACTGGAAGAAAGGGACTTGTGTCGTTGTCTATAAAGGATATGGAAATCGGGAAGAGCAAAATATGTCAGATCTTCTACCACCAGGAGATACTGAGGGAACAAATGAAGAGAGGAGTACTGCTGAGGTAAATATAAAATGTATGCCTGACTGAGATGGAGAAAAATAGCCATTGCTATAGGTATTGCAGAGGTATTAGAAGTAATCTGTGAGGGAAGTAAATTTAACACACATGAAAGATGGAATTGTACTTTTTGTTTGATCTTGAGCTTTGTGCATGGGTTTCAGTTGAAGTAAGAATTGCTCAAGAAAAGTGTTTTTGAAATCCATTGTATTTATTAGTAACTTAGTCTGATGTGATCTTGGTTCTTATTTATGTAGGCAGATACACTGCTCTTCTTGAGTTTGTCCAGATCATTAGATGGCAAGTTGCTCAAATTGTGATAAGCATAATTTATTTTCTTTTGGCTCCCTTTGAGGCTATCTTAAATATTTTACTGTGCTTTCAGCTTTTCTGCTGAATTAGAAAGCTAGCCTTTATATTCCAACAACAAAAGTTCTGCGTACTGAAAGTTTAGCTTAGACACTGTCTTAATGTTTGGATCTTCCAAAATTATACTGTATATTTTTTTAAAATCAAGATTAGAAGAAAAGATAGATCCAAGCAACAGAATTAAATAGAAATGGCTAGAAGGGTAGGTGTGTATGAGATAGGACAAGAAATCCGATAGAATTAGGAAGGGTGGTCAGTTGCTCTGGAAGTGGTACTTATGGGAGGGATCATAGAATCATAGAGTTGGAAGAGACCACAAGGGCCATCCACTCCAATCCCCTGCCATGTAGGAAATCAAAATCAAAGCATCCCTGACAGATGGCCATCCAGCCTCTGTTTAAAAACATCCAAAGAAGGAAACTGCACCACACTTCGAGAGAGTGTGTTCCATTGTCGAACAGCTCTCACTGTCAGGAAGTGTCTCCTAATGGGTGGTGGCACAGTGGTTAAATGCCTGTACTGCAGCCACTCACTCATAAACCGCAAGGTTGTGAGTTCAGTACTAGCCAGGGCTCAGGTTTGATTCAGGCCTGCATCCTTTCAAGCTGGCTAAAATAAGTACCTAGCTGTTGGCGGGCAATGAGCTTACAGTTGTAAACCGCTTAAACACAGCATAGCGTGGTATGAAGCGATATATAAATGAAGCTGCTAATGTTGAGGTGGAATCTCTTTTCCTGTAGCTTGCATCCGTTGTTCCAAGTCCTATTCTCTGGAGCAGCAGAAAACAAGCTAGAG